AGGAGGGGTGCTCAGTGGTGGGGGCTCCTTTCTGCTTCTGCACAGGGAGCGAAGGATGAGCAGCAGCACACAGCTCACCACGGAGACCCTTCCTTCCCTCTACCCACCATTTCCTCCCCAGTTTGTGCTGGGCAGGACTTGGGGAGCAGTGGGAAAAAGACCCACAGTCTGTCTCCAAAGCCACTCTGAGATGTTGGGGCTGCAGCACCCAACCTTATTCCCAGCAATTCCCAAATTAACGGAGACCAGGCTGACTCCTGGAATGTCAGAAGCCTCCCTCACCCTCTTCCTCATCAGCTGCAGGGCTGTGTTGACACCCAGTGGCCAAACCCATTCACAGGGTGCTGAAGGCCAACAAAAAGGCATCCAACAGCTACCGGGGGCTTTGGGTGCTGCTGCCCAAAGCCAGGCTGCCACCATCCGAGACCCCCACCCAAGAAATGCCATCAGGGTCATGTCCACTCTCCCCCCAGGCTGCAGTGCTGGGATCCCATCACTCCAGGAGCATGGTCATGGCTCACCTGCACCCGCTGCACTTGGGAATAGATGGTGTGCACTGTGCTGTCCTCGGTGAGCGGCGAGTTCTCCTGGCTGGCTGCAGGGGGATGAGCAAGTCACTGAGCTCAGAGGGGAGCAGGGACTCAGGGGACCCTGGTGCTTTGCAAGTCACATCCTGCTCCCCAGAGCACGGCCAGGGTGAGCCAAGGTTGGCTGCACCCCCAGTACTACGCCCATCCAATCTGGCCTTGAACACTGCCAGGGTTTGCCCAGCCACAGCTTCTCTGGGCACCCTGTGCCAGCGCCTCAGCACCCTCGCAGGGAAGAGCTTCTGCCCAAGAGCTCATCTCAATCTCCCCTCTGGCAGGTTCAAGCCATTCCCCTTGTCCTGCCCCTACAGGCCCTTGTCCAAAGCCCCTCTCCAGGTTTCCTGGAGCCCCTTTAGGCACTGGAGCTGCTCTAAGGTGTCCCCTTCAGGAGACTTATCTTCTCAAGCCGACCCAGCCCAGATCTCTCAGCCTGGCTCCAGCCCTCACAGCAGCTCCAGGGCCTCCTCTGTACCAGCATTGGGGTAAAGCCCTGGAGATCAGTAAGAAGCATATTTCACTCCTTCCCAAGGGCCAGGGAACTCTTAGAATCATAGAACCAACTGGGTTGGAAAAGACGTTTAAGATCATCGAGTCCAACTGTTACCCCAGGACTGCCAAGTCCAGCATTAAACTGTGTCACTCTGTAGATATATGGCCCATAGGAACCAGCCCCTTGGTCCATTCTACTGAGGGCAGATTCTGCCGCCCCACAAGGTTCATCCCAACCATGGACCACCAGCTGCCCCCAGCACTTCTACTCCATGGCACTCACCAATGGGCTTGGCCAAGCGGATGGCCATGAGGACCCCGATGAGCATCACTGCAGCTATGGGCACCACCACAATCAGCAGGACATCCTCCATCCGCAGCCCGTCGCTGCCTGGAATGGGGGGCAGAGAGGGGACAGGATCAGCCACCAGCCCCAGGGTCACCCAGAGCCAAGCAGAACGAGCTGCTAAAGGCTTTTTTCATCTCACCACCTAATTTTGGACTTTTTATTTGGGTAGAACGGGAAACAAGGGGCAGGAAATGCATTCCTTGAGAGGAGCACTGTCTGATCACCTCTAGACTGCACCAAGCAGCAGAGAATCCGCTGAAGGTGCCATCAGGGTCAGACAAAGCCCTAAGGATGTTTCTGAGGCTTTATGAAGGCCTGTGGGGAGGTAGCCCCTTGGCATGACAGGGTCCTAGGACAGATCTCTGCAGCTACAGCCTTGCTCCCAGCCAGGGCACCCTTGCTCCCGGACCACTGATGGTGGCATCACAAAGGCGTTTTGGGGCAAGGAAGGGTGAGGAACAAGCCCCAGTTGCCCCTGGAACATCTCATTTCAACATCTTCCTGTTCGAAGCAAGAGTCCCGACCGCTTTTCCCACAGCTGGTTTCTCAGCACAGGTCACTGTGAGAGCCCCAACGGAGACATGATGTTACCTTTGGATCCCCAGGGAAAGGGGCAGCCACTGCACAGCCCAGCCCTGGAGAAAGTCCCCCTCATCACGAGGAGAGCTAGAAAACCCCAATGAGAGAGAGCATGACTTTTGCCCCAAGAGCCTCTGAAGGGGAAGCTGTCACCAAGGGTTTTCTCCTCCCCAAACCACGCAGCATATGAGCCTCCTGCTTTCAAACGAGCCTCAAGCACCGGGGTGCAACAGCCGGGGAGGGAGGCGGGATCTGAACCTCCACATCCTTCCGTTTACGGGAAGGGCTGAGCAGCCCTGAGATGACACTTTGCTTGCGAAAGGCTCCTTTGAGACCACCTAAAGCAGCTTGAGAAAGTCCCCTGCAAAGCAAGAGTGGGACCAGGAGGCTGGAGAGAGCTGGGCTGGCAACTGGGGACTCACCCATTTGCTTATAGCTGCACTTGGAGGAATTGAAGGCAATGATCTGGGTGCTGACGGGGTTGCTGATGGTGCAGGAGCAGGAGATGCTCGAGTTCTGCAGGGGGTAGGTGAGGTGCAGGAGGCTGCTGTTGTGGGAGCAGAGCCCCGAGGTGCTGTTGTCCCCACTGCCCCAGCTGTAGGAGATGTTGTCCCCTCTCTCTGCCGTGCAGTTGAGGGTGATATTGCAGGTGCCATTGGCCAGCACCCAGCCAAGGATCCGGATGGTGGGATCAGACACTGGCTCTGGAGAGAGGGAGGGAAGGGGCAGAGGGTTGTGCCTGGGAAATCCTGTTGGCTTCTAAATCCATAGGAGATGGAGAGGAACCAGTCTAGCTGCAAACAGCATTAGAGAGGGACATGGTCTGCATGAACCCAAATGCTCCCAGGAGTATCCAGAGCAGGCTGCAAGAGGGTCTTGGACTCACTGCAGCACCTTGACATGAGGTGGCATCTCCCACCCGCCTTGACCGCCTGTTCCCAGCACCTCCCAGACCTGTTTCCAACACTGCAAGAGGCTGGAGCATCCAGCACAGTGCTCCCATAGCAGCGTGTCTCACCATACACCTCCAGCTGTATCTGCCAGACCTTCTCCTCTGGCCCCTTGCTGACTATGTACTCATAGAGCTGCCTGTCCTGCCGGCTGGTGTTCAGGATCTCCAAGGAGAAGTCCAACATGTGGAAGCGGGTTCGTTCCTGCATGTAGTTGGTGTACTTGCCACCCAAGTACTTGAGCAGGATGAGCTTCCTCTGCGGGTCCTCGGTGTCCCTCTTCCAGACAGCTGCTCCGAAGCGCAGGGTGAGGTTCTGAAGGTCAGGGGGGATCCGCAGTATTGTTGCCTTCCCCAAGGTGCCCAGCACCGTTTCCCTCACCCCATGGACCATGCCTGGTAGGAGAATGGAGAAAAGGGCTGAGGGAAGCACGGGAGGCTCAGAGCCACGGATCCCCCATCCAAGCTCTGCTGCATGAGGACTGGTCAGAGAAGCACGAAATCATCAGGTTGGGAAAGACCTTTAAGCTCAAGTCCAACTGTTCCCCAGCACTGCCAAGGCCACCACTAAGCATCTCATCTACACTGTTTGTGACCACTTGCAGGGATGGTGACTCCAGCACCGCCCTGGGCAGCCTGTTCCAACGCCTGAGCACCCTTTGGGGAAGGAATTGTCCCTATCTCCATCTGGCCACACTACAATGCCCAAGGAGCTGTGGGAGCTGGTGATGGCATCACACCTTCCGTGGTAATCCGCAGACTGGGGACAGCTTGTGTTGCATGAGAGAGATCAGTCAGAAGCTGAACCAGATTATCTAACCACATTTGCAAGCTCTGGGATATCCACCTCATCCTGCACCAGCGGATGCCAGTGGGTGGGAACACGAGTCCTGCTTCACATCTAGGCTCAGGGCGAGCCCCATGCGCACCCCACAGAACCATCTGCAGTGATTCATATTTGCCCCCCTCCCTGGGCAAACAAGTTTGTTTTGGGAGGAAAGAGCACAGGGAGAGATGCCAGCTCAGCACTGCTGACCCCACCGTGTCACCCCCCTACTTCCTACCAACTTCTTGCCATTGGGGTGAGGTTTTGCCCCCGAGTGGAACGAGAAGAAGCTACCCCAGAAAGTTCTGAGGAGGCCGGATAACCTCAGTATCCATTTCTCTTGTGGCACACGTGGTTCCATTAAAAAACACAGAGCAAATGCTCTCCCCGCCGCCATCTCAAGCAAGTGCCACCATTTATTTCCCCTCCCATGGCACAAAATACAGTGGCTCGAGCTGTCCCTGTGGACTGCATCTCCCCAGCATTAAAAGCAGCATCAGACACAGCCATCACCCTGGAGAAACCCATTGGTCCAGCTGAGGTTTTTGCTGATGCATTCACTGTGAAGTCCAGCGTGCAGGAAGATGCTGGCTTTTCTCAGCAACACCTATTTCTGACATGCAGCAGCAGGTTCCTCCATCATTGCCAAGTGGAAAAGCCCTTTTTTACATCATACTAGAAAAACCCTCTGCCCTGGCCAGGAGCATCTGCTTTGCAGGGAAGGTGGCTCGGCTGGAACAAGGTTGAAGGAGGAGGGATGCGGAGAGGGCTGAAACCAGCCATGCTGAAGCCCATAGAGAGAGGGCAGAGGGAGGCAAAGTGATCCTCACCAGCCCAGCACCAGGCCCAGAGCAGCTCTCACAGCTCATGGGACTTTTGGTGTGCTAGTTAGGCAGAAAACCCCACGGGGATTTTAAAGGCAGGTTTTGTAGTAACTGAGCAAGCAGAGCCGAGAAGAACCCCAGCTCTGCCAAGGTCTCTGTCCTGGATAAGCCCTTTGTTTTGCAGCCAGTAATAACACAGCGCAGAGGCAGAGGGCTCCCAGAAATAGTTTGAGCTGGAAAGGACCTTAAGATCATTCAATTCCAACCCCCAGCCATGGGCAAGGGACACCTCGCACTAGACTATGTCACCTCAGGTCCTGTCATGGAGCTGTGGGGACACAGTGCCTCTGGTCCAGCTGGACCCCTTGTCCAGGTCCCTGGTCCCTCACATCCAGGACAACATCATCCCCAGGACACCATCATCCACAGAACACCATCCACAGCCAAACAGGGCTCTCCAGGCACCCAGAAACAGGCAAGTCACTCCACTGCAAGTCCCTTTCCACTCACCTTCCACACAGTTTATTGCTTGGGGACCTTCTCCCACCACACTGGACCTCTTGATCTGAGACACTCTGTATCACAGAGGCAAGCCACCAAGGCTCTTCATCTTAAGTACACCAACTCACAGCTGGCACTAAATTATCTGCCAAGTGCTATTAATACCCCATTAACCCCCACATTATAGTGCTTCACTATTGCAGCTACACTTTGTCCATCAGCATAGAATCATAGAATGGTTTGGCTTGGAAAGGACCTTAAGATCATCTCGTTCCAACCCCCTGCCATAGGCAGGGAC